GCTACCCCCTCTTCAGTCTATCATGAACGCTACTGCCAGACTCATCTACCTTACTAACCGTTCCATATTTGTCACCCCTCTCTGCCAATCCCTCCAATGGCTTCCCATTGCCCAACAAATACAATTCAAAACATTAACAATAACATATAAAGCCATTTATAAATCTGCCCCAAATTACATCACCAATCTTGTCTCCAAATATCAACCAAACCATCCTCTCTGCTCCTCGCACGACCTCCTGCTCTCTAGCCCCCTTGTCTCCTCCTCCCATGCTCATATCCAGGACTTCTCCAGAGCTTCCCCCATCCTCTGAAATTCTCTACCCCAATTTATCAGACTATCGCCTACTCTGCTCACTTTTAGGCGATCTCTGAAAACCTATATCTTCAGGGAAGCCTATCCTGCCCTCAGCTAATAATGGAATCTTCTATTCCTCCTACCAGTCCATCCCTACAGTTATTACCTTTTGTACCACCAGCCCCTCCCTCTTAGATTGTAAGCTCCAAGGAGCAGGGCCCTCCTAACCCTCTTGTATTGAACTGTATTGTGGCTGTATTGTCTCCCATTATATTGTAAAGCGCTGAGCAAACTGTTGGCGCTATATAAATCCTGTATAATAATATTAATAATAATAATAATATATCATATCAAACTCAGATAGGTTTGCATTAAAATAACTGTAATGAACGATCTGGCTCTCACAAGTAATACATGAGAGGAAAAGAGTTCTTTATGTGTAATTTCACAAAATATTTTTCACAATTTAGTTTATATGTGTCTCTGTTTGTGATGATAAATGATTATTCAACTTTTCACCCCATCACATTTCTCACTTTTTTCTCTCTTCTTAGACCAAATCACTTCAAAGATCCCAAACAGATTGGTTCACATGTGAACTCTGCCTCTACATTCTTTCTAGAATCATGGGGGGGAGCAATGGAAGTTGTCCAGATTTTCTTTGAACCCAGCAATGTCTATTTACCAGTATTTACTTTGTATGGCCTGGGCCTGGACCATGAAAATCAGAAAACAAACTCCTATTCAGTCTGTCATGTCAAAGGTGACTGTTGTATCATAGTCCTGACTACAGGGCAGCCATTGCCCACTGTTCAGCAACTTTCTCAGCGCTACTGCCATGTCTGTCATAATTTACCTGTCCTTTTCTGGATGAGATAATGCCTGACTTTATTCAATAAAGAGGAAAACACAGTTGGTTTTTGTTTGTTTTAACATTTTCAAGCTTAAACAAATTAACTGATATTTTATGTCATAGTTTGCACTACTTGTATGAAATCACTGTTTTACAAATAAACATTTAATAAGATTAATGTAATTCAAGAAAGAGCATACAGCATGCTGGGTTGTCCAATAAGAAAGCCCAGCACTGGATGTGCACTTTCTAACTGACATTTTAAACATCTCTGGGGTTGATTTACTAAAGCTGGAGAGTACTAAACCTAGTGCAGCTGTGCATCATAGTCAATCAGCTTCTAACTTCATGAAAATAAAAAATTGCCCATTTTTTTTTAATTTTCATATTTTGAGGGTTATTGTATATCTTTGCCTTTTGCATGTGACAAAAATTGTATTATTTTTTGGTATTTACATTTTTTGGTAGCGCTGACTCGCTCCTATTTATACACTGCAGCTTCCAACGTTTCTTTGCAGATCTGCACCAGATTTTGCACTCTCCAGTTTTAGTAAATCAACCCCTCTGTGATTACTTAGCCCTGGTTCAGATATATGTGGCTGTGCAGGCCGCTTTTTGCGCGGGCACGAGAGCCCATTCACTTTAATGGACTCACGTGCCCTGTGACACGCAGGGAAGAAGTCCCTGCACTTCTTTAAAAACCGCAGCCCGCATGGGAACCTCAGTTCCCAGTGCGGTTGCGATTTCCAGTGCGGGCGGCGTGCCATTAGAATGAATGGCACCCGCCCACGGGTCTGCATTCGTCTGTGTGGGTGGTGCGGCTGCACGGATTTTTGTGCGGATCCGCAGTGCAACCACCCGCTCATATGTGAACCAAGCCTTAAAGTGGAGTCTGAGTCCTTTAGTAAATTCATTCAGGTGTGTGGGAGTGTGGACCTGAAGCTCTGGATTTGTGCTGGCTGCAAATAGGGAGGTATACAATGTTGTTTTAGTTTCTCTTGAACATAATGCATAACTAAGGATAAAATATTAAAAAAAATACATTTCTTTTAAAATGATAATAGCAGTAACTGATAGAAACCACTTAGTGCTCCAGAAAAAGATTCTGATTGACTATGATCACTGCACTTAAAGTGCACATGGACCCAGGGGCGGACTGTCAACTCATGGGGCCCCTGGGCAATAGAGGATCATGGGGCCCCTGTGTCCTTGCCCAAACTCAAAAAAGCCTATGAAAAAGGTACCAGGGGCATCTCATGGGGCCCCCTACTGACCTCGGGCCCTCGGTCAGTCCGCCCCTTCATGGACCTTAACTGAGTGACATTTAGTTTGCTAAAGCACTGTTTATCATATACAATCACCATTTTTAAAAAGTAAAATATATATTTGTTGTGCTTTATTGCTTCTACATGCTGCTGATCTCCTGCAGCACCTTTACAGCCACACCCTGCCTACATACATGCATTCCAATGATAATTGCATGGCATGTCTCAAGGTGGATTTCACAATGGTGACAACAGTGAACCATGTCAGTGTGATGTGTGCTAAAACGGCTACTTCTAACTCTCCACTGGAATCCTGTGGGGCAGGGTGTTTTTTAAGGACAGAAGACACACAAATCCAGGGCACCCAATTTTGTTATAGATGTGTGTGTATAACTGCTACACAAGATACATGGTTTCTATTTCTGCTCATCTTACAAAAATACATCTGTTCAAATGTGAACCGATGCTGCTGCTGCTAGTCCCCCGCCACCAAGTGGACACATGTAGCCTCCACAAACCATGCACACAGAGCTGAGATTTTTTTTACAGAATTCTCACTCCAGTTCAGGCAGGGTTGGGCAAAACTTTTTGACTTGAGGGCCGCAATGGGTTCATATATTGGACCCGGGGCCGGACCAAGAGTAGATGAATGATGTGTATGTGTCATCCATAGTAAGTATAGTAATATTCCCCCATAGTAAGCATAGTAATTAATCCCCCATATAGTAATTCATCCCCCATAGTAATTCATCCCCCATAGTAATTCATCCCCCATATAGTAATTCATCCCCCATATAGTAATTCATCCCCCATATAGTAATTCATCCCCCCATTGTAATTCACCCCCCATAGTAATTCATCCCCCATAGTAATTCATCCCCCATAGTAATTAATCCCCCATATAGTAATTCATCCCCCATAGTAATTCATCCCCATAGTAATTCATCCCCCATATAGTAATTCATCCCCCATAGTAATTCATCCCCCATATAGTAATTCATCCCCCATATAGTAATTCATCCCCCATATAGTAATTCATCCCCCATAGTAATTCATCCCCCATATAGTAATTCATCCCCCCTATAGTAATTCATCCCCCATAGTAATTCATCCCCCCTATAGTAATTCATCCCCCATATAGTAATTCATCCCCCATAGTAATTCATCCCCCCTATAGTAATTCATCCCCCATAGTAATTCATCCCCCATATAGTAATTCATCCCCCATATAGTAATTCATCCCCCATAGTAATTCATCCCCCATATAGTATTCATCCCCCATATAGTAATTCATCCCCCATAGTAATTCATCCCCCCTATAGTAATTCATTCCCCATATTAATTCATCCCCCATATTAAGTCCCCAAGTCCCCCCTGTGTCAATTCACTTACCTTTGCTCCGCGCGTTCCTCTCGCCGTGTTCCCGCGCCGTTCCGGTGTAGCATGAAAATCTGTCTCCTATGAGGATCGGTCCCCCTCGACGTATCTGCGCATGTGCCAGTTTCAGGCATTAGCAGCCGATCGGCGATCTCCGGCACATACGCAGATACGTCGAGGGGGACAGATCCTCATAGGAGACAGATTTTCATGCTACACCGGTCTTCAGGGCGGACTGTGAGAGGAGCCTAGCGGGAGCCTAGCTCCGCGGGCCGGATTAAAAGGTCCGCCGGGCCAGATTAAAAGGTCCGCCGGGCCGTATACGGCCCGCGGGCCGTAGTTTGCCCATTGCTGAGTTAAGGCATATTAATGCAGACATTAACGTGCTGCCTTACTTAGGCTGGCCATACATTATACAATTATCTGGAGATTTTTGGTTTAGATTTACCAAAAACCATATAATAGGAGGACAAACCTAAACAACACTTTCAGTTGTATCCAATTAGGCAGGCCCTTGCACTACACAGTTGAAGGTAAATCTAAAGGAAATTGGGCAGATAATTGGAAGATAATTGTATAATGTATGGCCAGCCTTAGACTGCAGGGACAGATGTCAATGTCCCAGTAGGAATTTATGCTTTGTTACAAGCAGTTCTTTTTTATTTTACATTTGTAACACCCATTTTACCTCCCTAGTGGTCTGATTATGTCAGTATTTCTGTGCTCAAAGCGGTAAATTTTTTTGCATGGAAATATGTATTTTTTTTATTGTAGGCCTGTAATTTTTAGGAATAACTCGCTGAAATCTGTCCGAACAAGAGTTTTAACATCCCGGGTATGTTAAAATTTGAAAAACGAAATCAGAAATTATAATTTAATACATAATCATAAAAATATAATAATAATAAATGTAATTCAATAATATAATCAAACCAAAAACACTGAAATTTGAAATATAGCGCCAAGTTCGCACATTACTGAGCAAAGTCACAAAATCGTTCTCAGTGTCTGATGACGAATTTCCCCACAAATCATTATCACTCAATTCTGCAAGTAGTTCTAATTTACTATCGCTGTTCTCTAGCTGGTCTAAAGCCACTTTTGACCTAAAGGGACGCTTTTTTGGACGCCATGGACGTTTCTCAGTTTCCAGGCAGAAAGAACAGTAAAAATGCAGGCAGGGCACAGGACAAAGCACTAGGGACAAAATGTATGTGAAATGGTTTGATACAGTAATGTTTTACTATATCATTTTAGTGTATTTGTGAATGTCACTTTTTCACATTTTTAAATTTCCCGCCGTTCCGTCCCCCTACATCCCGACGCTCGCAGGGAACGAAACCAAGAAGACGGATGCCGGCATCGGCCGGAAGACATTGCAGGGGACACTGCAGGAGGGACATCGCGGGAGTGCAGGACAAGGTAAGTGAAGAAGAGATCCCGGAGCAGCTCTGCGGGGTATTCCCGAGTGTTGCTCGGGGTTACCGCTTGTGGTGCTGAAACTTTACCCCCAGCTACACTCGGGAATACCGCCAGGGAGGTTAAACTAATATTTTTTGTCAGCATTGTCAGTTTTTTTTTAGCTAAAACAACACTTAAAGTGGAAGAAAAGCCTAATTATATATATTCATAAAAAATGTAATCCCCCTTCCTTCTCCTATGCATCTTGCCAAAAATGTACAACAAAAGATCTGTCTACTTACCTATTTTTAATGTGCTTTGGTTTGGTTTGGTCATGTGATCCGGCAGCTCCTCTTAAGGGAACACTTGACAATGGCTCTGAATTCTGGGAGCCCATAGGTTCTGATGTCAAGCATTTGTTCTCATGGTTCAGCTGTTGTTAGCGCTCCCTCTTCACCGTTGTATTCAGACCCCCTTCACTTTTTCAGTTTTTCTTATGTTGCAGCCTGATACTAAAATTGTTTAAATTCATTTATTTTTCATTAATCTACACCCAGTACTCCATAATGACAAAGTAAAAACAAAATTTTAGAAATGTTTGCAAGTGTAAGAAAAAGGAAAAACTGAAATATCACATTGGCATAAGTATTCAGACCCTTTGCAACAACACTTTAAATTTAGCTCAGGTGCCTCCCATTTCTCTTGATCATTGCTGAGATGTTTCTACACCTTGATTGGAGTCCCCCTGTGGTAAATTAAATCGATTGGACATGATTTGTAAAGGCACACACCTCTCTATAAAAGGCCTCACAGTTGATAATGCATACTGTATCAGAGAAAAAGCCATAAGGTCAAAGAAACTGCCTGCAGAGCTCAGAGATGGGATTATTGCAAGGCACAGATCTGGGGAAGGCAATAATCGCCCGGCCAAACTGAGAAATCAGGGGAGAAGGACCTTAGTATGAAAGATGACCAAGAACCAGATTGTCACTCTGACTGAGCTACAGTGATCCTGTGTGGAGATGGGACAATTTTCCAGAAGGACAACCATCACTGCAGCCCTCCACAGATCTGGGATTTATGGCAGAGTGGCTAGATGGAAGGATCTCAGTGCAAAGCACATGAAAGACTGCTTGGAGTTTGCAAAAAAGCACCTGAAGGACTTTAAGACTGTGAGTAGCAAGATTTTCTTGTCTGACAGAACCAAAATTGAACTATTTGGCCTCAGTTCTAAACTATATGCCTGGAGGAAACCAGGAACCGCTCATCACCTGCTCAATACCATCCTAGCAGTGAAGCATGGTGGTGGCATCATCATGCTGTGAGGGTATTTTTCAGCAGAAGGGACTAGGGGACTGGTCAGTGTTGTGGAAAAGCTGAATGGAGCAAAGTACAGAGATATCCTCAATTTAAACCTGTTCCACAGCGCTCAGGACCTCAGACTGGACCGAAGGTTCACCTTCCTTCTTAACTCTATCTACTGCAAATCCTAACTTCAAAAACCCACTGGAAACACACATCAACACGTTTGGCTATATATATAGCCAAAACTGTAAACTTTAGTTTGAATAGAGTGTAGAAGTATGTGAGTGGGGTCTTCTCGCCCGATGTGGGGACCCCTTATGAATACACTCGCTAATGCCTGGGAAACAGGCTTGGAGCCGCAGTCATGCAAAAATCAGCATTAATGCAGCACCCTAATGAAGAAGTGAGCCATTCGCTTTCCACAATGATGCTTTATACAGTAAGCACTTTACTGTGAAGCACTTTTCCTGTGACACTGTACACCTTTCTTCTCATATGCAGCATTTTGAGGGGACACCAGCTCAGCCATGATTGCCACATCACTCCCAATGACAATGTAGAACAGCATTAACTCTTTGTCAATCCATTTCTCTCTCTCTCTCAGTACCTTCAGCTAGGTCCATAGGTTTCCTGTGCTGTGATATCATTCCCGGATGTGTGTGATCACCCATGCTTGGTATCACCTTCCCACTTGCTGCTATAGCATTCCAAGCAGTCCTGTTTACTCATAACAACGGCATGTTAGCCATCTTCCTGCCAACTCCACTACATGATAAACCCATTCTTGGTGGCTCTCCAGATTGTTTTCTTCACTCCCTTTTGTGTTAATAGACCCTGTTCTTTGGATACGCTATGTACCTTCATACACTGCTTTAAAGAACTTCAGACCATGTACTTTACAATTAACTTGAAACTTTTACTAAGTATTCAGTTGATACAGCAAAAAGTTTCCTTACAATTAGTTATTCCTCCATCTCTACCAGTATTCTCCATTTAGGCTGCTTCCTAATCAGGCTGCCACCTCATGCCTGAAAGCAGTCCATAAATTCCTTTAGTTCTCTTCTGCAGCCAGACTGGGTACCCTTTTCTAGGGGGAAAGACACCCCTAAGTTAAGTACACATCTTGCCACACACCTCCTGCTACTTCCCATTTGGAGGCAAGGCCAGTCCATGACCTAAGAGCCCTGAATGGTTACCTCCCCTTGTATTTATAGTCCACCGCAAGGGTGCAGAGCTATGAACAACCAGAAATTGGTAACCTTAAACCCTTCATAACATTTGGGCAGCCTGTTAATTCACTACACCTTGCATGAAAAGTACATTATTATTATTATTATTATAATACAGGATTTGTATAGTGCCAAAAGTATGTGCAGTGCTTTACAATGTAGGGAAAGTTACAGTACAGGTACAATAGCAATTCTAATGAGCAGAGGGCCCTGCTCATTAGAGTTTACAATCTAAAAGGTGAGGGTCAAGTGATACAAAAAGTAATAACTGTGGGGTATGAGCTGATGTAGAAATTAAAAGTACAATTGTTAGGTGGAGGCAGTATAGGTTGCTCTGAAGAGAAAAGTTTTCAGGGGTGGCCCCACCCCTTGGTTCTTTAAGAACTGTCTGATGGTGAGACCTACGTTGGGAGTGGAGCCTGTTCTTTCTTTTTTTTTTTGGGTCAGCGGTGGTGGGCGGGCATCATGATTGTTTTTGTTGTTTTAACAAAGGACTTGTCAAAAACTGCCTCCTGTGTTTTTGTACACTGCACTTTTGTTTGGTGAATGAGTAGGGGTACCATGTACCCCATACTCATTTACATGGGGAGGTGTGATCTGGGATTCCCCTTTTTAAAGGGGGCTTCCAGATTCCGATAAGCTCCCTGCCTGCAGACCCCCACAACCACCGGCCAGGGTTGTAGGGAAGAGGCCTTCGTCCCCATCAACATGGGGACAAGGTGCTTTGGCGGGGAAGAGCCCCCCTGCCCCAAAACATCCTCCTATGTTGAGGGCATGTGGCCTGGTATGGTTCCTGGGGGGGTGCTCACTCGTCCTCCCCCTTTCCTAACCTGCCAGGCTGCATGCTCTGATAAGGATCTGGTGTGGATTTTGTGGGGGACCCCATGTCATTTTTTTAATTTGGCTGGGGGGTTCCCCCCTAAATCCATACCAGACTCAAAGGGGGGGAATCCCACACTATTTTTGTTCCTTAATCTGTAATTACCAGCAATACATTTTTTTAAATTCAGCTGTCAGCAGGGAACCCCGCTGGCAGCTGATGACTTGTTACATTACCGCATGCTTACTAAAAATACCGGCTGATTAACTCATGCAGTCTTTTAGCAGCGTTTTTTTTGGTGAATGCCAACATTTTTTTGAAAAACACTGTGCGGTATCTTATTGCATATTTGGATGCGGTAAGATACCTCTTTCTGTCTCCACTGTCCATTGGTTTTTGCTGTTAGTAAATCTTTTCTGAGTTTTAGGAGAGCAGGTTCTGTGGAGTGTTGAGGGCGAAATCCAGACTGAAGGGAATCAAGAAGGTTATTCTTAATGAGGTGGTCACTCAGTTGGTTGTAGATCAGGGAAATATAGGTTCTTAAAATTGGTGGGGTCCAAGGAAGGCTTTTTAAATGACTAACACATGTTTTAGAGAGTTGGGGAAGATGCCAGAAGAGATGGAGAGATTGAAGGTGTGAGTTAGAGAGTGTAGGAAAGAGCCCGAGGGTGACCGCAGTATTTAAGAGGAAATAGGGTCCAGGGGACAGGTGGTCAGGTGGGCGTTAGAAAAAAGTTTAGCAACCTTGTCTATAGTAGCAGGATCAGGTGATTTCATCACAAACTGTATCCGTTTTATTTTTGATTTGCGATCTCCTGGACAGTTAGAGAGTTAGTGTGTGGAGGCAGTGGAGGACGAAGCAGAGCGTTAAAGGTAGACAAGAGTTGACGGGGACTGGATGAGAAGGTGTTAATGAGAGTGATAAAATAGGTCTGCTTGGCAGTGTGGAGGCAAGAATTGTGTTTTTGGAGGGCAGATTTATATTGGTTGAATTCTTGTGAGACTTTGTCTTATGCCACAAATGCACAAGAGTGCTTTGTTTTTTGAGACTTCTGGTGTCACCTGTTTGACAGGGTTATAGGCGTCAGGGCCTGATTCTGTGTGTAATGAGAGGGATGAGCTTGTCCAGGCCGAAGGACAGGGATCTATTTTAGACAGATGTGACTAGATTGGGGCAGGACAGGAGTGAGATTTTTTTTCATAGAGGTGGTCAGGAGCAGAATAGAGAAGGGAAGGGTTAAAGTGGTGAATGTCTCAACAAGTAATTGTTAGTCAGTTGGAGGGAGAGGTGCTGATAGACAGGGAGAGAGTGAAACTAAAAAGGTGATGATCAGAGAGAGGAAAAGGATTGTTAGCATGGAGTGCATAGTAGCATGGTAGTGCATAGGTAGGAGAATACAAGGTCGAGGGAGTTGCCATCAGAGTGAGTAGAAGCATGTATCCATTGCTTCAGGTCAAATGAGGAGGTTAAGAATGAGGACTAAGAAGTTAAGAAGTAGCAGGAAGTAGCAAGAGTGTTAGCATTAACAAGGTTGTTGAAGTCGCCGAGAATGATTGTGGCTATTTCAGAGGAGAGAAAGTAGGGTAACCAGGCAAAGAAGTCATCAAGGAAAGTTGATACCAGTTCAGGGAGGAAAACAGCAATTTTTAAAGAAATTGGAGAAAATAGACATATACAGTGAACTTCAAATGATGAGAGGGACAGAGAGGGAGGAAAGTGAATAACCTGAAAGTGCTCTTTGGGGATAGGGGATTCCCACTCCACCTCCCTTGTGTCCACTGGGTCTAGGGGTGT